GCAAGTCGGGAGCAGAGGATGCTCTCCCCGCTGGGCGGGAACCGGCGCGGGGCCTAGCGGCAGAGTCGTGCAAGTGCAGTCAGATCCTCTACCGCTTCAGGACTGTGATCTTCGTGCATTTTTGTATTAATTTTGATTTTTTAAAATTACTGCATTAAAATAGGATTTCTTTTGATTGTTTTGGCGCTACCAGTGCTCACTCTCCTCCCCTAGCCCTGGCCCTGGTGCAGAGGGCGTAACACAGGTTTGTGCGCACGTGTGTCACACACGTGTGTTCTGCGTGCGTCTGTGTGACATGGGTGCAGACAGGTGTGTTGAGGCGCACACGGCAGGTGGGGGCAGTGGGAGGGGGTTTGAGGGCATGCTACTTGTGTGTGCTCATCCAGGGGTGTGCTTGTGTCCATGTGTACCCACGGTCTGCACACCCCTGCACATAAGTGTGGCACATGCCATCTCTGCTGTCTTCTACTCTGGGAAGCGCCTGTGCGTCCATGTGATGGGTGGCAAATGTGTGTGTGCACTGCAAGGGGCTTGAGTGTGGGTCAAGCGTGCACACACCTGGATGGTTGATGAAATCTGTGCCCAGTATACAGTAGTTACTTAATAAGTGCTATTTGTGTGCATGATGAGTGTTTGGGGGGAGGCACTTAGCAGGATGTGAGCATGCAGGGGTGTGCACACAGAGTGGGGGTGTCTTCTGGGGTCCCCTATCTATGCTGAACTCTACCCTGTCCCCAGGTGAGCTGCTGCAATGGCTGGAAGGACGACATCTCCTCCATGGCCTGGTGGCCGAGGACCAAATGCTGGTACTCGACCCACAGCCCCTGCTCCAGGCCTCTCACCATCACCACCACCACCACCACCATCGCCGGGCAACTGCCACCAACCCTGCCCGCCACTGCTGCCTTAGCGGCTGCACCTGGCAAGACCTACTGACCCTCTGTCCCCACTGAGCCCTCCTAGGGCAGGGCCTCGGGGAGTCAGAGACCCAGAAGTTCTGGTTTGGTGACCTCCTGAAGCCATACAGCACCATAAAGCCCCATATCTGGGGGATTGTTGATTACATCCTGGGACAGGGGACTCACCACCTACCCTAGGTCACCCAACTTCTATGGGGTTAACTCAGGGAAGGGGGCACCCCACCACCCTGGCTTGGAGAATCCTTGATTTTACAGTGTCAGACACGGAGGGCCAAATGTTCTCACCTCCAAGGAGTCCTCTCTGCACTTGTAAAACCCCATCTTGCTGTCTCCCCAATAATAAATAAATAAAACTCCTGCAGAATTCAAAGCAGCTTTATGGCATTTTCTCAAGAAAAAGGGTAGGGCCAAAACCGGTTTGGCTCAGTGGATAGAGCTTCGGCCTGGGTAGGGGGGTGGGGGAGGCCAGGGGATAGTCAAGGGCGGGGGGAAAAAAAGACACATATGTAATACCCTTTGTAATACTTTAAGCAATTAAAAAGAAAAAGAAAAAGAAAAAGGGACCAGCCTAGGTCAGCTCTCACATGGGCTTGGCCCCTGGCAGCCATAGGCCCACCAACACTTCTAGGAGTTTGACAACTTGATTCATCACAAGAAAAAATGGGGAAATTAAGGCCCAGCAAGATGACTGCTTGCCAAGATCAGACAAGGTAGGAATGGCCAGGTGCAGGATTCAAATCCTGGGAGGGCCTTAATGTCATTTAATGCCCACTAAACGGTACACACAAACACACACACACCTAAGTTACTCACAGTGGATATTTATTGATTCAATTCTGACCATTCTTCTCACTTGCATCCTCCCTTCATCCTGGGATGGGGATCCTATGATATAACCTCCTTGCTATAAGGTGGGTCTGTATCTGCTGACTCTTCCCATGGGTCTGGGAGAAAGAGTACCGGGCAAGGTGTGCAACACACAATAGGCGCACAATAAACACTTAAAGGGAGAGGAGGCAGGATAGAGGACAGCTGAGGCACAGTCCTCACGGGAGGAGAGGAGGTTGGGTGGGATTGGGCAGGGGCCTGGCCAGAAGCAGGAGCCTGAGGTGGGCCCAGTGTCCCTTGCAGACAGGAGCAGACTCAACCCGTGCCTTTCTCTCCCGAGACTGTCACCACGCTGGTAGTGAGAGTCAGACTTGGGGTATATAAGCGTAGGGCAAGTGGGAGCCATGGTGGGTGTGTGAGCAGGGATGAGGTAAGGTCAGATCAGCATGAATGAGACTCCTGCAGGTGTATATTTTCTATTGGAAATGAGATTTTTATAAATAAATGTAGATTGACCTGAGTTAAAACTTGTAAATAACTTTAAAAAAAAAAAAGACCCCAGGTCTTCAACAAACATTTTATTCCCTGAGGACCCACTCCCCTGTCTGTACTCTGCTGCCTGAGGTGTCCTGCCACCACCCCAATGCCTGGGAGGCCCAAGTCCCAGACACCTGTCAAGGCCAGCAGGATTAGATCTCCCTAATCAGAAAGACACTGGTTTGGGGGGAGGGGGTAGTCCTGGGTCCCAAGAACTCAGGGCCAGTCGAGGATCTGAACCTCCTCCTTCTCAGGGCACTGGGGTGAGTGTTTGTGTGGCCTTGTGCCCAGTGAAGACCACTCTGGTCCCAGTACTGTTTCCTGAGTTCTTGGGGATCCCAGGTGTGGGGCCTGGGGCCTTCCGGGTACTCCAGACCGAGTCTTCATAGCCTGAGACAGACCGCTGCCCGCTCCTCTGGCCACTATTTCCACCACCAGAGCACTTAATACCACAGCAGGGAGGGGGCGGTCCCATTCGTGGCCTCTCTGACCCCTCCTACCATCTGAGGGGCCAAGGCCCTGCCCCTCGCTGAAAAGGGCTCCTCCCTTCAGCTGCATGCGACCTCGGGAATTCCCCATTGGCCGTGAACCATGGCCAGACCTCACCCACGATTATCCGCAATCCAGGCACGTGGCCACTATTTAGGGGCCAGCCCATGATCAAGGTTGGGGCTGGGATGTGGGACTTCATTTTTTTTATTGCTTTTAGAGGAAGGGAGAGGAAGAGAGGGGTAGAAACATCAATGATGAGAGAAAATCATTGATTGGCTGCCCGCTACTGGGGATTGAGCCTGCAACCCAGGCATGTGCCCTTGACTGGAATCGAACCTGGGACCCTTCAGTCCACAGGCTGACGCTCTATCCACTGAGCCAGACTGGCTAGGGCTGGGATGTGGGACTTGGACTCAAATGCGCTGGAAGCAGCAGCAGCAGCAGAAGCAGCTGGAACCCTGGCCGAAGTGCTTCTGCCAGTAGCTGAGAGTCTAGGAGGTATGGCGAACCTGGTCTGAGCAGTACTGGGTGAGCTTTGAAGGATGTGTAGGAATTTGCCACAAAACTATTCACTAATCAGCCCTGGCCAGTGTGGCTCAGTTAGCTGAGCACTGTCCGTGCACCAAGAGATCGCCGTTTGACTCCTGGTCAGGGCACATGCTGGGTTTCGGGCTCAATCCCCAGTGGGGGCATGCAGGAGCCAGCTAATCAATGTTTCTCTCTCTCTCCCTAAAATAAATAAAAGCATATACGTATTTAAAAAAAGCAAACAAACAAAACTATTCACTCATCACCCCCTCCCTGGCACTTCCCTATGCCCAGGAGGACAAAGGTCTCTTCTTGGGAAGAAAATGTCCCCCCTCCTGCAGGGTGGAGACAGGAGCCCCGGGGCTAGGGCCCCGGCCCCACTCCGTAGATCTCCCGGCGCTTGCCACAGGTGAGGTTGGGCCGGCTCAGCGCCTCCCACATGAGCCACATCTCGTAGGGCAGGAAGCGGTGCACCAGCAGCAGGTCCCGGTAGAAGCAGGGGTCAAAGGTGGACAGCCGTGCGGAGGGGGCCCAGATGCCGGCGGTGCGGATGCCACTGTGCGAGGCGGGCTGCAGGCCCGCGTGCTGTAGGCACATGCCCAGGAAGACATCGTCGATGGGGAAGAGGTCGAGGGCGGCGGCAGCCCGGCGCAGGGCGGCCGCCGTGAAGCGGGACAGCAGGAAGCCCCCCCCTCCACAGTAGGGCGGGTAGTGCTCGTCCTCCGTCACTATCTTGGGCACATAGTACTTGCTCCAGGAGACCCGGATGGGGCCCACGTACTGGATGAGCTGCCCCACAAAGAGGTGGTGGTCAGGGTCGTGGCCCTGCAGGTAGGAGACCATGTTGTCCGTGTGGGCAAAGACGTCGTCGTCCCCGTTGAGGATGAAGCTGGCATTGGTGCACCGCGTCTCCTGCCACTGTAGGAAGAGCACCTGCGGGGGGTGGGGGGGCAGGGCATGTGGGCTGAAGGGCTGGGACAATCAGCCTCCTCGGCCCATGGAGACCAGGGGAGGATGTGTCCCCCAGTCAACCCAGCCTGGGTTCAAGGCCCCCCCTCCCCCACCCTGTGGGGTGACCTCAACCACCAACTGCTCGTCTCTGTGCCTCAGTTTCCAACTTTCCATTCAGGCCTCGTCTCAGGACCTGCCTGCAGGATTGTGGGGGGTCCGTGGAGATGATGTTGGTTAAAGCGCCAAGAAAACTGTCACATCTATGTTTATTGCCATTCCTTCCCCCTCTGCCTGGGCGAGCGCTGCTGTTATATAATTACTTGTGTGGTTGTCACTGAACATCTACCTCCCCTGCCAGACTCTGGGTTCCCCCTGGGTGGGGGCTGTGTCTCCTCCCCGGGCCATGTTCCCGGCAGCCATTGCGGGCTCAGTGCCTCATGGGGACTAGATTCATGTCTAAGTTAATGTTTTTTGTTTTTTTAAATATTATTATTATTATTATTTTTTTAAAATATATTTTATTGATTTTTTACAGAGAGGAAGGGAGAGAGATAGAGTGTCAGAAACATCGATGAGAGAGAAACATCGATCAGCTGCCTTCTGCACATCTCCCACTGGGGCTATGCCTGCAACCCAGGTACATGCCCTTGACTGGAATCGAACCCGGGACCCTTCAGTCCGCAGGCCGACGCTCTATCCACTGAGCCAAACCGGTTTCAGCGTCTAAGTTAATGTTTACCATGCCCTTGGGGGTTTGTGTTAAGATCGTGGCATGTTGAGGGGTTCTGGCCCTCTGCTTACTTTGGCTTCCGTTTCCTCCATCGTAACCTTTGCTGCCTGCCAAGTCGTGTCCTCAGGGCCCGCCCTGCTTTGAATCCCTGATGCGACCACAAGCGGTACATGTGGTCTCCAGTCCCATTTGCAAATGAGGAAACAAGCTGCCCAGTGACGCTGCCCTGAGCAAGGTCACATAACACAGAAGTAGCTCCTCAAGATCTGAACCCAGACCTGTCTGTACCTACGAAGGGCAGGAGCCTGAACTGAATCTCCACTCAGCTTGCTCCACCCCACCCCCAACCTGCTCGATCCTTGGAGCCGCCCACTCCTGCTCTGCATGCGGATTCTCTCTACCTGCCATGGGCTCTTGTCCATCAAAAATGTCTTTATTGCCCAGCCAGAGTGGCTCAGTGGATAGAGCGTCGGCCTGCGGACTGTAGGGTCCCGGGTTCGATTCTGGTCAAGGGCATGTACCTGGGTTGCAGGCATATCCCCAGTGGGAGATGTACAGGAGGCAGCTAATTGATGTTTCTCTCTCATCGATGTTTCTAACTCTCTATCTCTCTCCCTTCCTCTCGGTAAAAAAATCAATAAAATATAGTTAAAAAAATAAATAAATAAATAAG